TAGAGGGGGGGAGAGGGAGGGGGAGGGGAAGAGGAAGGGGAAGGGGAGGAAGGAGGGGGAGGGGAGATTGGAGAAGGGGCATAAAGAATAAGTATGATTTGTAACAATCAATATGCTAATAAATAATTTCTTAAGTTAATGGAAAAATAGAAAGATAATATGAATCCTTCCATGAGCTTTTTGAAGATTCCTTTTTTGGGGGGGTGCCTGGCTGGTACAGAAACCCAAACCCATGACTTTGGTGTTATAAGGCTGTGCTGTATGAAGATTCCTTGTGTATATTTACAGTGATATTGAGGGTTGGGGTAAGGAGAGGAGAATACAACAACTAATGAAATTTGAAGTCACTACTATGTCTCATTTTTATGTTCCTGATTAAATTTCTTAAAAAAAAACCAAAACCACATGCTGTCAGTCCCCACCCTCAGAGATTCTGATTCAGTACACAGGTCCAGGGTGGGGCCTGGGAACATGCATTTCTCACAGATGATGCTGCCAATTCACTGTCCACAGACAGCTTCCTGTTAGAAATGCTCTTGTCTGTAGAGCAGTGCTTCTCAAACATCCATGTGCATAACAATCACATGGCGCATCACGTAATGGGGATTCTTATTCAGTGGATCTGGGTTGGAGTCTGAAGTTCTGCATTTCTGTCAATCTCCCAATGATGCCAGTGTCTACCTTTGATCTTGAATAGCAAGGTCTTCGAGCTCTAAAAAGAGAATGCAACCTTTTCTTCCACATAACAAAAATCCTACTTACGAGTCTTTTATCCTCTCCATATACGATTTCTCTCTCATCCTCTGTTCTTTTCTTTTCTTTTTTTTTAGACTTCCCCCCTTTGTTTTCTTTTTTGCTCTTTCTCCTTTTTCTTCTCACCAGCTTCCTCACTTCCTTTTCTTTCCTTTCTCTCTTCTTTTCTTCCCACTCTCTGTTTTTCTTGTCAACTTTTCAAGATTTAAAATTCCCAGCACACTCTCAGGAGTCTAACCCTGGTTAAATTAAAAAAACAAAATGAAATTAAAAAAAAAAAAAAAATGCAACCCCGACTTCTCAGAAAGAGACTCCACCCAAACTGTCTTCGAGTTTCATGGCTGCAGCGATGAGGTCAGAAATGAGTCTAGGAAAATACATGTGAGTGCATGTCAGGGAAACAAAGAAGGCAGTCAAGTGCAAAGGACTGCTCTTTTCTAGAAAAGACTTGACCAGGAGCTTTTTTCCAGGACTAGATATTTGCCCTGCTTACCCACTAGGCCCTGCTTACCCACTAGGCCCTGCAAAACTAGACCCTTTCCCTAAAAAAAATATCAGTTTTAGCCAATTTGGTTATTTTCTGGATTATTTTAGCTGGGAATGAATTGACTATTGTGAGCCATCAGGTGTACTCTCCCTGCCCTTGGGCTGGGCAAGTTTCTTAGCAGCAAATTCCATGCAAAAGTCTACAAGCCCTATGCTGCAGGTCAGAAGCACTGGCCCAGTCTTGTTCAACTTCCGGAAACCCAGGGCTGGCAGGAGTTTGTTGGCTTAGTAGCTGTATCTGAGAGTTAATTCTGTACTACATTCTTTCTAAATGTAGTGGACAGAAGTTCAAGAGTTAGTTCCATGAGGAAAGGGACGGTGGAAGATATAGATGTCTTCCTGGTGCAGAGAAAAAAGGAATTCTCTCTGAATTCAGTTCATCCAGTGCTAAACAGCTTTCCAAGAGACCCGTGTATTTTAGCTGACTCTCTATTTCTCCCTGTGTGTCAGGTGACCCAGGCTGCACCTGGATCACTTCATCTGTAGAGTGGACATGATCACCTTAACTGACTAGGTACTTGTAAGATACCATAGATGAAAGTGATGCTCAGAACTGAGCCCACACTTTGAAGCAGTGGTTCTTGATGTGGGCAATTTTGCCCCCCAGGAGACATTTGTGGTTATCACCACTTGGAGCTGCTACTGACATCTAGTGGGTAGAAGCCAGGGATGCTGCTGAACATCTTACAATGCACAGGACAGCCCCCCATTACAAAGAAGTATTGTAGAATATCTGTGTGCTGTGGTTGAGAAACCCTCCTAGAAGATGGTTCAATACGTGTCAACACCCATCCATCCTTCTTCAATGAAAATGAGAGAAAAGAAGAAGAAATAGATGAGGATAAGATCTTCAATACATAAACTGAATAAATTCCTGGCTGTAATGGTAGAAGCATCAAAAATCAATGGTTTCAAACTGTAATGCCAACAGAGGGGAGAGACGAGTAATATAAATTAGTAAAGCAGCCCAGGGGCAAAAAAAAAAAAAAGAAAGAAAAAGAGAGAAAAAAGAAAATGAACAAAGACATTAGAAATACTTCAAATACTATTTATTGTAGTAGAAGAAAAATAACTGCACCCCCACAACAAAAATGACATCTTGCCTTTGAGAACTTCACATCAGTTCTAAAAGCGATAGCAGAAGGTGGGGACAGGAGTCAACTGGAAAGAGAAGCTTCCTCTACAGGGGCAGCCTCTGCTCTCTCCACCTGACATTTATCATGCAACACAGGACTCAGGCCCAGAGCTGGATGTTTGGAAAAATCAGAAAGAAGGATTTGACTGTTTTGTTTTATTGTAGAATCTGCTATTTCTCACTTTTGTATTGTTTTTATTGCTGTGAAGATTTGAGGAACATTGTTCATAACCATATCTGGTTTTATTCCGACATTAGATTCTGAAAATGTGAAATCATCAAGGCAGACTGCTGCTGTTTTTGTGTGCCCTACTAGCTAACAATGGTTTATATATTTTTTAAAGATTACACAGACAGGGAGCATGCAACAAAGACTGTAGCCCATAAAGCCTAAAATATTACCGGGCCTTTTACAGAAAAAGTTTACCAACCCCTGATTGAGTGCATAAAAGTGGTTTCTTTACCTTCAAAATAATTAGAGCAAAATAAAGTTCATGGAACCTATGACCATATTTACAGAAAACTTATTAGAAGATTAAGACTTTAGTATTTTTCTCAATGGCAAAACAGTTCCTCCAAAATTCTAAATGAAAATATTTGTCATCTATTTGATATTACTTCACTGACTTCTCATTTGATTTTTGGGGGTGGGGATTGGAGAAGGGAAAGAAATGTGTGGAAATAGATGATAAAAGACCAAGATGAGACAGCCACACTATAGAGTGTGCATATAAGGTCCTCAGTTTGCTGATTCTTGGCTGGTCACAAGTTAACTAACTAGTCATGACATAAAAGTGAAATTAGATCCAAAGTCTGCCAAAGTTCCAGGTTCTGAGATGTCATGTTTAATGATGTCATAGAGAATTTCCCCGTATGTTCTGGTGAGGACCCTATAATTAATGAGAGACAACTACAGCAATCCAACTGAACCAACAGGAGATTTTTGTCAGCAATTCCCAGGTGTAAATCATGGTGCAGATTATTAAAGACATGGCAAGTATTTACTGGGCTTCACTGAATATTTCAAAAGTGGCTGTCTTAAGAGGAGATTTTATAAAACTTAAGAATGATTTCCTCTATCCAGTATAGCTCTGTAGCAAGGGCAGATTTTAAAGTTCTTGCTCTTTGTGGTGTTCTTTGAGGGATGGCACTATCTAGAGAAGTAGCCAAGGGACAAATTGATCAAAAAGGGTTTTCTTCCTCCCCAATTTCTATTTCTCGCTCTGACTCTAGCTGGATTCAGGCCAGCTCTTAACATAGCCTGTCCTGTATCTGGTCCCATGGATTCCACCCTAGTTGTTACCTGGAAAATTCTATGGAAGTGAGAGAGTCCACATCTTCTCTCCCAACCCAGGAAAAAGAGCAGAAACCCCAGACATACCTAAGAAGTGGGGTAGGAAGAGTGATGGCTAGTAGTATCAATATTCCCTTAGGATATGGGACGGCCCAACGTACTGTCACAACAATTATAAATATGTGTATAGGGCAGAGTTAATTCTTTAATTATAAAGAAGAAAATTGCTTCCAAAAGACAGGTCAAGGGCCCACCTCATATAAGGAGTGGTACGGGCTTTAGAACCCAGACCTTCTGATGCCAGGCCTGATTACAGAAGAGAGCTAGAGAAAGGGGGAAGGGCATAGGGCCTAATGCCTCACATCCATCAGCACCCTCAGATTTAGACTTTTGAAATTTTCTCCAAATGTGGCTATGCATAAGTTCACAAAAATGATACTGACCAGATTTAAAGAAGGCATTGCCATGTTACTTTGATATAAAAAAAAAGTCTTAAAATACCATAGCTAGAGAAAGGGGGAAGGGCATAGGGCCTAATGCCTCACATCCATCAGCACCCTCAGATTCAGACTTTTGAAATTTTCTCCAAATGTGGCTATGCATAAGTTCACAAAAATGATACTGACCAGATTAAAAGAAGGCATTGCCATGTTACTTTGATATAAAAAAAAGTCTTAAAATACCACGCATTTGCTAATGCTTTTGGATTTTTCTGGGGATCTCACAGAATAGCTGAGAGCCTTACTCTTCCCTAAGAAGCCCTCTTCTCTTCTCCCCAGACACCTTTCCTGAGAGCCTTCTGTCTCCTTTTTATCTTTATTCAGATGTCACCTTCTCTTTAAGGCAACTTGGGCCATCCAAACTACAATTGTAATCCAAGTCCCATCCTTCCTTCCTCCCTTATTTCTCTCTTTTTTTCTTTATTATTAAGGATCACTAACATACTATATATTTACTTATTGATCTATCAGCATCCTCTTCTAAAATGCAAGCTCCATGAAGGTAGGGAATTTTGGGTCTGTTCTGTTTTGTTTTTGTCCACCATTGTGTCCTAGCAGCTTGTGCAGTGTCTGGCATTGTATAGGCCTAAACAGGTACATGTTGAATAAATACCTATATCATGGGAGTATTCCCTTTAGGTAATTTAGCCAAGTCAAGTTCATGAGTCCAACTAGGCCAGTTCACACCAAAACAACCACTGCTAAGAAGTGAAAGGTGTTGGGAACTTATAAGGATGGCCCCTACCTTATAATTTCAGAAGCAAGTGAGCAATGGAAGTTTGGCATGACTCTCTGAAAAGTTAGTTATCCCATCCTCGAGGAATACTGGTGAGGGAAGAGAGTGCATCTCCTTTCAGTCATCAGTTCCACCTGCTTGAAACTAAACCGAATGGCAACATAATTGTCAAGACTCCCCCATTATAGAGCAGTTTGCCATTTGTATGGAATTAACCCCATCCCTAATGGGGATAATCCCTTCTAAACTTATTCCAACTAATGATCCCATTCTCCCTCCCCACCAGTTTAAATTGGTCCAGGGATGAGCACAGGCAATGCAATTAGGGTCAGTGAAAGGAAGAGTGGGGGTTGGACTGTTAGCTCAGTTGGTTAGAGCATGTTGCTGATAACACCAAGTGAAGGGTTCAATCCCTGCACTGGCCAGTTGCCAAAAAAAAAAGGAAAAATAAAATGGAAAAAAAGGACAGTGAGTCCCATTACTATGAAGAACTCACGAGATGATTTTGTGTCATGATTAAGAATACAGGCTCTGGAGTCAGGCTCCTGAGGTTCAACTATACTATTCACCAGCTGGTTGACCATGAGAAAGTTAATCAAATTCAGTTTTTTCATCTGTAAAATGGAGATAATATTACACACTCCATAGGGTGCTTATAAAGATTATGGGGGAGAATATCAGGCAGAGAATAAATTAGCTACCATTGTTGCAATTCCAGTGGGAGAAGGAAAAATAAACCTTGAATAGAGCACTACATCCTACCGAATCATTCATTCATCAAGTAAACACTCTATGAGCATTTACCAGGTGCCAGTTTGGGGCCATGGGAGGTATAGGGTTGAATCAGAATTGAGTCCTCTAGGGAACTGGGGATATAAACTGTGCATGAAATAACAGTGTAGGACAGTCACTTGGCATAAAGCAAGCAAGTATATGCACAGTTGTATGCGATCCCATAAAGAACCTTACTTAACTTAGATGATCTGGACAGTTGATGGAAAATTCATTTAAGACATTTAGCAAAAAGCATGTCAAGTCCTTAAATGCATGGTTTTGACTATAGCTGTAATAATACCACTTCCCCCAAATAAAACAGAAGAAGAAATGATTCAAGGTGTTAGATTAGTTTTTCTCCTCTTAAATTTTGGTATTAGTGCATGTTTAGGCCCTTGTTTTAAAAAAAAATCAAATCTAGACATCTACCTTGAAGAGCAGTTTACCCCACTGTATTAGTCCATTTCTGTTGCTTATAACAAAATACACAGAACTGAGTAATTTGTAAGAAAACAAAATTTATTGCTTACAGTTTCTGAGGCTGGGAAGTCCAAAGTCCAGGAACACATCTGGTGAGGGACTTGGTGGTGGTGACAGTGACCCAGGGGTCTCACATGGCAGAAAATGGTGAAGCAGAGAGAACTTCTCATATGCCCTTCTTTTAAAGCCCTCAGAACCACATCCCTGACAACCATTATTAATCCACTCACTACAGCATAGTCCTACAATCTAATCACCTCTTCAAAGCCCCCATTTCAATTACCATAATAGGATTTCCGCCCTCCACAGTTACAGTGGGAATTAAGCTTCTAATATATGAACTTTGGGGACACAATTCAATCAATCCACAGCACTCACTCTCTAACCTTCATCTCTCCCTGGCCAATCTCACCTTCTCTCTAGAGGTAACCACCATTACCAACCTCAGTTTCCAACCACTTTGGTGAATACACTTCTAAATTTTCTTGTGGATTTATAATAATTTATACATACTTACAAAGAAAAATACATCTGACCTCAGGGACATTTAGAAAAGGTTGGGTCACCTGGGGTAGGGCATCTGGAAAAGTTTTTGGGAACTAACCTGTCATTTTATTCTCCGCAAGACTTTATGAGATTCCATGACTATACACATATCTTCATTTATGTTCTGGTTTCAGAATGAATTCAACACATTTTTGAAAGCTGCTGGGCAGAAACTTGTGGTGGTTGAATTTTCAGCAAAATGGTGTGCTCATTGCAAAAAAATGTATCCTATTTTTCATGTAAGTACAACCAGTATCTATATCACAGTTTTAGAAGAAATTTCCAGTCCCAAAACATTTTTCTCCAGTAATTCTTTTTTTGTTGTTAGGCTTCATATTACAAATATATTTTTTTTTCGTTAAATTTTTATTTTGTCAATATACAATGTATTAGATTATTATGGCCCATCACCGACACCTCCCTCCCTCCTCCCTCTCTCCCCTCCCACCCAAGAATGTCCTTTCCATTTGCTTGTTGGAACAACTTCAAAAAAGTATAGTTGTTATATCTTCTTCCCCCCCACCCCCGGTTTTTTTT